AGGGGTTCTCGATTGTGAGAGGATGCAGGCCAGGCTAAGGGACCTCCCCGCAATCCCTGTGCATAAAATTCATGCACGGAGCCTCTAGTTAAAATATACTCTTTAAATTAGTGAACCTTATGGTATATAAATTATATATCAATAAACCTTAATGAATATGTATTAATGAAAATATAAAGTCTATGCAGAAAATTGTTCTAAAGAGAGAACCTGGGATCTAAGGACAATTTAAATATACAGTCTATTTTAAAAATATCTAGTGACCACTTACTTCTGAAAGGATAAGACCTGTGCTGCCGAAACAGGTTTGGCTCAGTGGATAGAGCGTCAGCCTGCGGACTGAAAGGTCCCGGGTTCGATTCCGGTCAAAAGCATGTACCTTGGTTGCGGGTACATTCCCAATGGGGGGTGTGCAAGAGGCAACTGATCGATGATTCTCTCTCATCGATGTTTCTAACTCTCTATCCCTCTCCTTTCCTCACTGTAAAAAAATCAATAAAATATATTAAAAAACAAAAAAACAATATAGACCTGTGCTGTCCAGTTTGGTAGTCGCTAAGTCACATGTAGCTATTGAGCACTTAAAGTATGGGCTAGTTCACAGTGTAAAATAAACCTAGAATTAGTAAAGATTTAGTACAAAAAACAAAACACCAAGACCAAATATCCCACAAAAAAAAACCCACAAAGATTATGAACTATTTCATTAATTTTCACACTGAGTCGTCAGATTATGATGATCTCTGAACGCAAAATAATATGGTCACTCTGTGTGTGTGTGTGTGTGTGTGTGTGTGTGTGTGTGTGTGTGTGTATTAGAGGCCTGCTGCATAAATTTGTGCATAGGTGGGGTTAGGCCAGCCTGGCCAGGGGGAGGGAACATTGGCAGTTGGCTGGCCTGCCTGCAGGTCAAACTCCTGGTCGAGGGGACAGTTTGTATATTAGCCTTTTATTATACAGGATATACACTGAGTGGCCAGATTATTATGCATTCAGAGATCATAATAATCTGACCACTCAGTGTATATTAATGACATGTTAAAATGGTATTTTGGACATACTTGGTTAAATAAACTACATTAATAAAAATAATTTTGTTTATATAGTTGTAGGATATGTTCATATCAACTAATCTTTTTTTAAAATATATTTTTATTTGATTTTAGAAAGGAAGGAGGGAGAAATATCAATGATGAGAGAATCCTTGATTGGCTGCCTCCTGCATGCCTCACACGGGATTGAATCCACAACATATACCTTGACCACAGAACTGTACCATGACCTCCATGGTTCTTAGGTAGGCACTCAACCATTGAGCTATACAGGCCGGGCACACCTAATCTTGATGAAGAGCTAGTCAAGTCCCCAACTGTAGGATCCTCCCAGATTAGGTGTACCAGTTAATAATAGTGGATTTTGTAATCAAAGAAAGCACAATAATTTCAAGAGAAACATCAAAAGTGCTTTATTCGAAGAAATGTCCATCACTAGCTACAGATTTCTCCATCTTTCGGGTAATTTATGGATACCGTCCCAATAAAAATTTGTTTTGAGGCAAACCATTCAGAGATCCAATTTTCCACTTCGTATGTTTTGAAGTGCTGCTCAGAAAGTGCGTGTGCCATCAATTGGAACAAGTGGTAATCTGAAGGAGCAAGGTCTGGTGAATACATCAGATTAATACTTCCCAGGCAAGATCTTTTTTTTTTTCTTTATGTTACAAAAAGACACTAACTTTAATACTTTAAAAAAAACCTATGTTTTGATTTTTTAAAATTGATTATGGTCTCACATAATTGTCCTTATTCCCCCATTCCCATCCCAAACCCCTCCCTATATATCCCCCTCCCCCCAACCCCGGTTGTCCATGGCCACGGACTAGGCCCATATGTATGCACACAAGTCCTTTGGTTGATCTCTGCCCCTTACCCCATTACTTTCCCTCCAGACAAGATCTTTTAACTGGTTTTAAAGTGTGTGATGGTACATCATCATGAAGCAAAACTACTTTGCTATGTCTACTGGAACATTCTAGTCGTTTCACGATCAAAGCATGGTTCAAACTGATTATTTGTTGTCGGTAGTGATCAGTATTAATGATTTCATCTCTTTTAGAAGCTCAGAATACACACATATTCCTGATCCCACCAAACGCAGAGCATTGTCTTCTTTCCGAAACGATTTGGCCTTGCAGTAGATGTTGATGGGTGACCTGGATCAATCCATGATTTTGTGTGTTTGGGATTCTCAAAATAAATCCACTTTTCATCACCAATCACAATTTGATGCAAAAAGACTTCCTTTTGTGTCGTCGAAGCAAAATTTTACTGATGACTTTTCAGTTTTTCATTTGTCTTTCGTTCAGTTGATGTGGCACCCATTTTTCTTTCTTTAAAATCTTTCCCATTGCTTGTAAACGGTCGGAAATTGTTTGCTGAGCAACATTTAATCTTTCTGCAAGTTGTTTTTTAGTTTGACATGCTTTTTCATCCAATAATGCTTGTAATTGTTGGTCTTCAAACTATTTTGGTTGACCTGGATGTTCTTTATCTTTCACATTGAAATAATCACTTTTAAAGCATTTAAACCAGTGTTCACAAGTATCTTGAAATGAAACATGATCACCATAAGCTTTCCGAAATATATAACTTTCAGCAGCACTTTTCTTCAAAATTAAATAATGAATTAAAACTTCCTGCAAATGCTCTTTTTTGGGCATGAAATTTGACATTTTAAAAATATATATATTTTAATGATTTTTTATAGAGAGGAAGGGAGAAGGATAGAGAGTTAGAAACATCGATGAAAGATAAACATGGATCAGCTGCCTCCTGCACATCTCCTCTTGGGGATGTGCTGCTACCAAGGTACATGGCCTTAACTGGAATTGAACCTGGGACCTTTCAGTCCACAGGCCAATGCTCTATCCACTGAGCCAAACTGGTCAGGGCAAATTTGACATTTTTAAATGTAAAAATATCTATGATGTTAACACCTTTCAGCAAATTTGACATATGAAGTTTTAAAGCTTGTTGTCAATACAACAAAATAACATACATATCAAATTGCATATATATATATATCAAATAACATACATATCAAACTGCCTATAATTACATATGTGTAACTTCATCTATTGAAAAAATCCGCATTATCGCCAAAACCGGTTTGGCTTAGTGGTAGAGCGTCGGTCTGCGGACTGAAAGATCCCAGGTTCGATTCCGGTCAGGGACATGTATGTTGGTTGCGGGCACATCCCCAGTAGGGGGTGTGCAAGAGGCAGCTGGTCAATGTTTCTCTTTCATCAACGTTTCTGGCTCTCTATCTCTCTCTCTTCCTCTCTGTAAAAAAATCAATAAAATATATTTAAAAAAAAAAAAGAGAAAATCCGCATTAACCAGTACTCTTATAATCTCTCCTCCTGCCCCTCACTTCCTCCTCCTGCCCCTCACTTCCTCCTGCCCCTCCTCCTGCCCCTCTCCTCCTGCCCCTCACTTCCTCCGCAGTTCCCTATGAGTGGTCTCTAGCTATCTCTAATGGTATACAGGAAGAAATAAGTCTAACACAGCCCACCTGAAAATCCCACTAAACGAGTGGTGCTCAGGCTTTGCTGCATAGTAAAACCTCCCAGAAATTTTAAACTCCCAATGCCAGGTGTTATCCCATACCAACTGTAACAGAATATGAGAGATGGGTAGCCAGGTATCAGAACAGTTAAAGATGGCCGGGTGACTCCAATGTGCAGCAAAAAGTTTGGGAACCAATGCTCTAATAATTATTTAGAATTTCTAAGATGAAAGAACTAAAACTGGTAGGAGCTTAAACTTCTACCCATAGCATGTTGGCTCTAAGTAGCTAATACTAAACTGACCCAGAATAATAAAAGTATCAAATCAGCTATCTTCTTATATCCCTTTGGGGGTCTTATAAGGTAATATTTCAAACTAGCTGATTCCAATATTTTATTATCCTACTAGAAGAATAGTCCTCCAAAGTGGCTATATCAATCTATATTTCCATCAGTATTAGATGGAAGTTCTCCCATTTTTACCAGCATGTGACAATGTCATTTAAAATTTTATGCCATACTAAAATTATTTAATTTAACTGACATTTATTTAGGACTTGTTGTATAACTGCTATAAGGGCATTAAAATTGCTAATTCATTTAAGTCTAAAACCATCATTAAGAGTTCAGGTACTATTGTTATCCACATTTTATATAGGAGATCAAAGCACAGAGAGGATGAATAAACTTGCTCATGTGGTGAAGCAAGGATTCAAACCCATGCACCTAAAAATAATATAATGCTACCTCTCATTATTATTTTAAACCCCCATATCTTAATCAGTTTAAAATAGTCAGATTTACACAGATTAATTTATAAGGCACAACAGAAATGTGGCTTAAAAAAAATCACACATACAGTGAAAAAACTAAACCATGTAACCATGAAAAATTATGTATTAGAAAAATTCATTCAAAATTCACAATTATTTATCAGGCCCCCACTATGTGGCAGACAACCGTTCTAGGCACTGAGGATAGAGTGGCATTGTGGGTAATATAGTGATAGTATGAACAATAATTCAAAATATATTTTATTTCATAAATACTGAACAGCAATTTTAAATAGTGGTTCATTAATGTAGTTTAGTACCAGAAAGAAATCTGAAACACAATTTAAAAAAATATATCTTGATTATACTCTTCATTATAAGTGAGAAAAAGACATCTACTGAAATTTAATTACTTTTCTTGTTAAAAGAAACATTTTTTTGTTAAAGGTTTTGCAAACTATGTCCCCATTTCAAGCAGGCACGTGCTAATAGGTAACATCCAAACACAACAGCTGTTCAATAGTACCAGGAACCCAACAATACAATTTACTGGAGAAAGGTACACATTTCAGAACTGAGATTTTGGCTTTTAAAGAAAAACATAATTACAATTTTTAAATGACATTAAAACCAAGTAATCCAAAGTAAAATTTACTTACTTTAGCAATCTGCAGCAACACAATGCAGTGTTTAATTGATTCTACCATGCTCTATAAAAACAAAACACTAATTTTAGGCTCTTGCCCTGGATAAAATGGTCAAATGGTGTTAAAGCTCAATGTATAAAAATGAATTAAAATATACAGGGTTTAAGGTCTATACTATAAAAGCAACACCCTCTCTGGATATCCAGTGGGTTTTAATATGCTGATAGTGTCAAATGAAGTTGTTATTAGCAATTCTATGAATTGTTAAGGAATGCCAAAAAATGTTAACCTAGACTGAATAATATCTAAATGATCTTCAACACTTTAAACTGAATTAACTTCCAAATTCTTAGATCAACAGCTGGCAACCCACAGTAAATTTCTATAACATCCATTCAAGACTTTTATGGAATTATGGAGAGTAAGGATCCTATCAAAATATTGGTGAATGTGGAATACTATTTTGCCTGTTTTTAAATGCAAATCTTAATAGACCAATATATAATGTCAGAAAACTGGGACATTAGAAAACTTGAATTATGATATATTTTAATTTAAAAAAGAGAATACACGCTGTGGATATATGACACCTTTTATCCAAGGATCTCAAATAGACAAGACCAGGAAAAGATAAAATGGCACACAAAGTCAATTTCAATTAGAGGAATTATTCATTTAAATTCCTTTAAAAAAAAAAAACCACAATAGTTATTAAAATACCCTTGCAAAAATTCATAAAATTAAATTTCAAATTGCCCTTATTAATAAGAGGAGCTTAAAATAGAAATAACATTTCAAAGTACTTTTTAACACAAAGGCAGAATTTATGAAACACATAACTTACATTTGTTGTCTCTTTGAGAGTTTCAATTTTCTGTGAAAAATAATGTTTAAACAGAAATAATCAGAAGCACAAAGAGGTATGACTGTTTTTTTACTGGTTAGTCATTCAAAGAATTTTACCAAAACGTACTCATTACTCTGAGTGCAGGTAGGCTGGGAAGGGAGTACTTTTGGTTATATCTCGTGTTTTTGTTTTTTTAATTTAAATCAAATATTTAGTTTAAGAATTCAGACATTTTATGAATTAGATCCTCAAATAAAATTCATGTGATTCCATTAATAACTTGTAAAAATAATATAAAACATTTTTATTCCTTACCTAAACTAAGTTTTTTCTATAAATCCACTTTGTGATTTTAAAATACTTATTTTAGAATCACCTCAAATTTTGCTAAGCTGTTTAAAAATGATATGGTACTAAATTCTAAAACTAAGACTGGAAGGCGAGCCAAACATGAAATACTGCTATAACCAAGTGTAAAAGCCAAATGCAAGACTACGGTCAACAGAAGTGGAAACAAAGTTGCATTAGGAAAATTAGTCATAGATAGAAAAAATGTAAATTAAAAAAGAAAATAATATTCAAACTATAAAGTAGCTGTTAGAAATCCAGTAGCAGGACTAAAATTAAAGCAACACTTATTTTGTTTACTCATGTGTGGCTTCTTGTTTATTCCGAAAATTCTTGCCGGTTGGTTTAATATTTGAAATGACCCCATGTAAATTTAATAACTTTCTACCTTCAACATGATACCTGAAGAGAAAAAAAAAACTTACTTCTAGAAAGGTGGTACTTACAAAAAGGGTATCATATTAAAATTTTGTGCATTGCCTTTTTGTTTAGTTATGAAACCATATAAAAATTCAGCACAAAACCCCTTGAGGGCTATGTGGCAGTAGTATTATAATTGGTCAATAACAGTCAATAACACTGAGGTCCTTCTGTTATTTCTCCAAAAGGCTCTTCAATTTAAAAAATTTTAAGTAAAATCATGAGGTTACCTTTCTCTGTTCATCATCTTTGCAGTTTTGAAGTTTGTCATCAAAAAGCTACAGGATTAGAAGAATGATTATAGAATTTAGCCATGTTACTACATTGTGCACATTTACTAAACATAAAAAAGCGAAGTTTAGTTCTTACGCACAGTTCTTCCAAGGATGATTTATATTTATTTTCAAAATAACATATATTTTTTTCAAGGCATTGTACCAATTCAAATTCTACTGAATTACTTTAAATGGTTGGGATTAATTACACTGGTGAAATCACAAATAAAATGTGACTTTTAAGAACTTAAAATAATAATTCAAACATAAGTTTTTTCTACTGTGTCATTCAAGTTTATCAACACCTCTTTTTTCTTCCCAGGACCTTTGGTTATAATTAATTTTAAAGTAGAAACAGAAGAAGACAACTTCAATAATAAAGAGAGTAGAGAATCACTTCTCCCAATCCCCATGTCCCCAGTTTGAAAAAGGAAGGCCTGCCCTCGCCAATTTGGCTCAATGGACGGAAAGGTCCAAGTTCCATTCTGATCAAGGGCACATGCCTGCTCAATCTCCAGCCCTGGTTGTGGCACATGTAGGAGAGAAATAACAATTGATATTTCTCTCTCTCCCCGTCTCTCCCCCTTCTTTCTACTCTCTCTAAAAATTTAAACAAAAGCAAGACATTAGATATAGAGCTATTTAAAGTTTACCATTTTCACAGAATTTTTTTCTTTTTTTTTCACTTTCACAGAATTAAAAAATATATGTATTTTATTGATTTTCCACAGAGAGGAAGGAAGAGGGATAGAGAGCTAGAAATGTTAATGAGAGAGAAACATTGACCAGCTGCCTCCTGCACACCCCCTGCTGGGGATGTACCCGCAACCAATGTACATGCTCTTGACTGGAATTGAACCTGGACCTTTCAGTCCGCAGACCGACACTCTATCCACTGAGCCAAACTGGTTTCGGCCGCTTTCACAGAATTTTTAAACAGAATGTGAAACTAATCTCGTCTTGCTTTCTTCTTATTATGTCTACTTACCTTTTTAATGACCAAAAAAGTACATTATGTACATATACCATTTACCAATATTATTATAAAGATTTTTAAAATTGTCACCAATATCTTTTAATAAGTCAGCTTTAAAAATTAGTGAAGAATCACATAGAATTGTAAATTAACATCAAATCAATAACCGTTTTTACTCAAAAATCAAGCTCAGTAACATCTGCTACTTTAGGTCAATTCAATATATAAAAGAATGCCATACCTTTAATTGTTCTATCAAGATTTGCAGGTAAGCATCAGCCTCTGTAAGTTTCTTATCAAAGTCTTGGACGCTAGGAACAAATCCTGAATCCAAACCCTAGAGAAAAAGAAAATTTACAATAAATCTAGCATTACCTAAGCAACACTTACTACTACAAAAGATACTTTATCATTCACACATGGTTTTATAATTTTAAAGTAAAAAAGTAAATACAGTACTTTTACACAAATTTCTTTTGAACTTACTTAAATTCTCTAAGGACAATGGTATATCAAATCTCCTCATAAACTTCTAGCACTACTCCCTTGTCATCAATTAACATGTGCTGATGCTCAAATTCAGATTCATCTTGCTATTCAGAATCACTTTCTTTTTTCCCAAAATGCCCCATAAAGGCTCCCAGTCACCTCCAGAGCAATGTAGTATACTATTCAGCTAAAGGAACATACACAAAACCACCTCCATTACCTATTTTTCCTCTACTTTTTGTTCAGTCCATCCCTCCAGTCCTTTAATCTTAACTTCATATTCTCACTACTTAGTTCTCCAGGTCCTTAACCCACCTCATTAGTTCTGTTTTCCTCCTTCTCCTATTTAAAAGAAAAAAAATAATAACCTAAAAATTCTTACTTTGTCTAAGAGTACTGTAAGTGAAAGTGACAACACTTCTGTCTTAATCAAGTTCCCTACTCACTTTCACCCTTGGCGTAAACATTACACTCTGGACAAGGCGTAAATGTTTATTTATTTAGAGAACCCATTTATTTTTCAGTTTAACAGTCTGGTATTTGCATGTCCTACTTTTTGTACCCCAAAATTTATAAGTTCTAAGGGCATAGGATTCCTATTTTTTAACTCTCCTTACTCAAAAGAAACTCTTGAATTCTTAAATTATCTCTTACATGAAAAACATCAATTGTGGGTGTAAAAGACAAAACAGTTGGAGTTTGAATAAGACTATCAGCTTGCCATATTTGCATGCTCAGATGTCCTGCAGTTAAACTGGGAAATAAGGGTCTGGAACCACTAATATCACATTCCAACCCAGCCACAAAACTCTGTAAATGAGTGAAAAATAGTGGTTCAACCTATTATATACTTGACTCTCACTTGTCATATCTTCCCTATCTTTGGCCAACATATAATGATCATTTTCACATTCTTCATTTTGGTAAACTGAGGTCAGAATTCACTTTTTATTACACCAATTCCTCATCTTTGCATAATACTTTAACCACTGCTGAAGCACTTCCACAGCCATTATCTTAAACACCAGATTGAATGATATAGTAATATGGAAACACCAATGGGTTGGCAAACCTGGTTTCTAATTGCAGCTCAGTCACTAACAATAGCTCTCTAAGCTGCTGTTTTCTTACCTGACAAATATAGGTGGCTCTCCTACTAATATTAATGTGGCAGCTACTACCTCTATTAAGAACATATTGTTACTAACACTATCAACTACTACTATTAATATTAGTATTGTTGCTCTTCCTAAACTAAAATTTAAATTCTGAATCAAAACAATAAAAACAAAACAAAAACCTATTTAGTCCAAGGGAAAATCAATGCATTTTCTTTTTCAAATTCAAAGGCAATAAATTGCCTATATTTTACATACATGCCTACATGTATGTAAAGAAACTGCTTGAAATTAGTATTGGAAAGCTGCTTCCCAATGAGAGATGTCATATATAAAAACAAAGCATAAGGAAAAAAAAAATCATAAACTATGTATGCAAAATCCAGATATATTTATAAAAGTGTGGCTAAGTAGCTTCATTTTCAAAGGTAACTCAAAACACTTCCTATTAGAAACATTTATTATGTGCAGTATGATAATAACAGGTGTGGAAAGGAAGGATAAATCTCACATTTCAGAGTGACTGTTGTACTATTCTTAGAAAGGAGAAAGTTATTTCCATGTTACTGTACCACCTCTCCACCCCCACCCCAAGAAATTAGAAGGACTGCTTGGCTTGGTTTTTGTTTTACAAAGCAATATAATATTATCAATAATTTAATTATAAAATCCAGTTAAAATCAGCTAAATACATTGTTCTTGTTTAACGGCACATTCAAAATGAATAAAAGGTGAAGCATCTTAGAAAGTGATTTCTAAGAACTTTCCCTCTTTTGAATCCACTTAGAACTACCATTGTAAAATCTAATTAATCTACCCTTTTTAAAAATATATATATTTTATTGATTTTTCACAGAGAGGAAGAGAGAGAGAGTTAGGAACATCAATGAAAGAGAATCATCGATCAGCTGCCTCTTGCACACCCCCTACTGGGGATGTGCCCGCAACCAAGGTACATGCCCTTGACTGGAATCGAACCCGGGACCCTTCAGTCCACAGGCCAACGCTCTATCCACTGAGCCAAACCGGTTTTGGCTAACCTACCCTTTTGAACAATCCTTACCACTAAAAGTCTCTAGTTAATACATAGAAACAAATTAGATTTAAATTACTGAGATTTAAACCTACATAAATTCTTCAAAAACAACCCTTTGAACTTCATCTTGGCTCTTTTCTCAGTCCTACCTCTAGTCTGCCACAACATTCCTACACTGTCAGAATAAACTCCAAATGGCACAACATCCAAGTCAAAGATCTACTCAGCAACCCATCTTTCTGTATAAAATGTATGATAGGTTTATTACAACAGTTATTAGCTTAAAATCCCAGAACTGGCCTAAATTCCTCTGCACAGTCATCCATAAATCTTTGGTGTACTTTAAAAAAAGAAAATCTACATATTCAGTTGCCCATATGCAATCAATAAAATGACATTTACAAATTTATCAGTAACATAGACAAGGCGTTTACAAATTTATCAGTAACACAGACAAGGGACGGATAGTAATTTTCTCAAATCTAGAAAAATGCACTAGAAGAAATACAACTTTTCACTATAAATTGACTTATAGTACATAGATAGAATCAAAGCCTCCTAGTTCAACCTCCCACTCATAGAAGTGACTTTTATAATATCTTTGAAAGTCATTTAATATCTTTGCTTGAGTATCTAAATACAAGGAACTTATTACCTCCTAACAAACTTTTTCATAAGAATTCTCTAAAGTCATAACTACTCCTCTTTCCATTCAGCATTTACAATGTAAGATACAACACTTATTTATATCCTCTTTAGTGGAGTTTTATTTTAAAACCGATCATAAAAAATACAATATAGTCCTTTACTATGTTAATAGTGGTCTGTCTTTGAAAATAACTTAGAACATGGCAGACCCTTTAAGACAGTGTGACTTCATACTTCAAATTAATTAAACAACCTATGTATTTTAAATAAATCTCAATCTGCAGGTTAAGAATCAAGCAGATGTACTTTCTGGTACTCTACTCACCTTCTCGAACATCTATCACATTTTATCTAAGTTAAATATTTAAGTAATTGACTTATCAAATAAACTCCATGAGGGCGGGAACTGTGCCATTCAACAGTATACCTCCAGGACTAGCTCAGTGTTAATGATTGTTGTGGCACTGACTACAGCCATGTGGCAACTACTAGTGCCATGGTACCCATCTTCTTCATGACCATCTCTCCTTAGGCTTTCTGTTCTCGCTCCCCCTTCCCTTTTCCACTTTCCTCTCTCTCTTCATATCTTCCTTTTCTTCTCATTTGTCTATGTTCTTCAGCAGTGACTGAGGTGATTCTGTAGCACTTTTGGCACTTGGGACCCAAGAGGTTGCTGCTCCCCAGTTTATCATATTGGTAAGCCATAGTTCTGTCTGATTTCTGTTTAAATTCATTTAAAGTTTAAATTAAATGCAACCATTATAAAGAATTAAAGATGAAATGTCCTGTTATGTAAAAGAAGTTAAATTAGAAAAACTGCAATAGAAATTAAATCTAAATCTAACCTTTAAATGAAAACTCTATGCAAAGAAAAAATATTACTTATGTGACAAATATAAACCAAAATAGTCTCTAGTTTTTAAAAATACTTTGCTAATAAAGAAATCTAAAGTATATATATATATATATATTTAGATAAAAACTTGACTATATAGTCAAGTTAAGTTTCTATATCAGGATCTATGTAACTAATTTAAAATATATACACAGAGGCACACATCTTGGCCCAACTGAAGGAAAATTTCAAAAATAATAGAAGAATATCATACTGCCTCAAAACTGTATGAAAGTACTCCCTACTACCTTTCTAATACTTATGTTGAGCAGTATCACTTTTCTCAGAAGGTACTTCTCAGAGCTAACAAATGTCAGCAAAATTAAAAATGAATTCCTATTGATGACTTGAGTTGGGACATTAAACACTATTTATACTTTATATATACACACAACTGAACACATCACCCCCATTTTAAAAACAAGGGGGGTATTGCAAGGTATGTCCTTAAAACTGAAGTACACATTAATTGCAGCTACTTTGGGAAGACTCTTTTATTAAATCTAAAATAGTACAGGAAGCAATTTTTAAGACTGAGTAAGAACTGTTCATGTAATTCCTGCTGACAGAGAAAGAGTAATGAATAGTGGAGGGAAAGGTGATAAAAGGTGATTTAAGGTCTTCTGAGGTCAGAATCAGGAAATAAGAAACTTACAGGTAATTTGAGGAACTGAGGAGAATAGCACCAGGAGAAAGGCTATAGATGAATAACAACATTATAAAAAGAAATTTACAAATGAGTAATCATTTTCACATATCAAATCTTATTTCAGCCCTAAACAGTTTGGCTCAGTGGATAGAGCATCAGCCTGCAGACTCAAGGGCCCCAGGTTCGATTCCAGTCAAAGGATGTACCTTGGTTGCAGGCACATACCCCATGGAGAGTGTGCAGAGGCAGCTGATTGATGTTTCTCTCTCATCAATGTTTCTAACTCTCTATCCCTCTCCTTTCTTCTCTGTAAAAAATCAATAAAATATATATATTTTTAAAATCTTATTTCACAGCAAAACTAAGGACTAAGTACCCTGGCTATATTCAGTGCTTTCTCTTATACAGACAAAATTCTTATAAAGTAAAAATACATTGCAAAAAGAGAAAAGAAAAATAAATTAGAAATAGAGACATTATTCCATGCCAGTCTCATAGAAAA